ATGAATGGGTTAAAAAGACCAACAAATCTGAAATCTGAAACATATGAGTTATTGGTTTGAATCACTGTAAATACTCATTGCAAGTGGATGATGCCTCTGGGCCAGGCCTTTTACATTGAATTGGCTAAAAAGATTCAAAATCAGTATAGAACTGATTTTGAAGATTATTGATCTGAATCAATGCAAACTTATGGTTTTTATGAGAAAAACCTCTTAGGGTGCTTTCACACATGAACGTTTGTTTCGGAACCTGGTGCGTTTTCATGTAATAATAATACAAATGTCTTGACACAGTTAACCTCTAGACAGCACTTGGGAGATCCAGAGAGCGTGTTCGAATTTGCTGCAGTATTAATATGAATGTAGTATATAATTTACCAGCGGGAATGACAGCCACATTCATATAGTGTTTGCGTGTCTCTCAACAGTTACAAATAAAGCCACAATAAGCTCATGGAGCGAACTTGTCAATCATCTTGATGGATGACGCAGAGAAAACGCTGACCAATAAGAGTAACGTTGTACTCGCATGTAACTGCCATAAACACATTTTGGTACTCTTTGAATGGTTGCCTTGTGAAAGCGAACCGAACCAAGAAGCAAATGGTGTGAAATCTGTTCTTAAATGAAAATTGAACAGTCTTGAGTTAATCGGTAACAATCATACTGTGAACGAATGATTCTTCAGGGCCAGGTATTTTAATTGGTTAGAAAGACAAAAAAAAAAACCATGCAAATTATTTGTTGGAATTAGAGTAATGACTATAGGAACTCTATATTCTAAATCTTAATTCATACAAAAGCTTTATGTAAAAAAAGACTGAAATTTAAGTCTACAACGCACATTTTGTTGGTGCTTTTAGTTTTGTTTTTTTGTTCCTTTCAGAGCTTGGCACACAGTTACTATGAAGTTGAACTGTTGTTATCAAAAGTGCTACATAAAAATCCTTCAAAATGTTTTTCTTTTTTCTTCACTAGAAGAAAAAAAAAACACACCATGTGGGTTTGGAACGACATGAGGGCGAGTAAATAATGACAGAATTTCATTTCTGGCTGAACTATTCCTTTAATAAAACACCAGAGAGCAAACGTTTGTAGAGGAGGAGAGAGGACAGCTCATTCCACAGCTAACCGGGAATGTCCGTGGCAGGAATTGTGTGCATGTCCGAGCATGTGAAATTACAACCCCCTCCCCCAGCACCCCTCTCCGTGACCCGGCTGATCTACTCCGGGACCAGCAGAAAAGCCCCACATCCTCATCAAAAACCCGCTGGAGGCCGCAGATGATGAATAGGGGCGCTGGATCTATTAATTCCATGTAACAGTTCCTTTCTGCCTCTTCAGATTCCCAGCGCTCCCGGCACGCTTAGCGGTGCTAAGCTAATGCTCTCACAGCCGCAAAGCAGCTTTGACTGTAATCGGGGAATACAATATGTCACCCTTTTCAACACCACGTATGTTATCCAGAGAGAGCAAATATGAAAATACATGTTCTGGCACTTGTATCGCAACGGAGGAAACTGCGCGTCTGTGTTCATAACACAAGGACAACTCTGTGGCGTCCCGTGCTCTCCGCCTCTACCACTGACCTTAACAAAACACATTCAGGGACCATAAAGACGATGTGTCATCAAATATCTTCTTTCCTTTTACTGCTTAGTTTAGTCAAAGTCTTAGTAATACCATATGTTATTTGAAATCTTATCTTCTTTCATTGCAATAGCCTCGCATATACAAAGACAGACTTGCATAAAGCTTATGATGTTTCCCAAGTATTGTTCAAAGAATCTTCTCAGAGGACATCGAACAAATGAGGACACGGCGGTAACAGCGTTCTTTCAATTATTCATCATCAGATACGTTTCACATAGTCCAATCAGTTAGTCTTACAAATAACGGCACTAAATTTAATTAAAACAAAGTGCTGTTTTCTGTTTCATACGCTTAAAGGATTGAAAATGTTGAATAGATCTAAAGCCACTTGTTTTTAAAAAAGGATGTTATCCGACAACAACCATACAAAGTCATCCCTGTGAACTGATTAGAGGATTCTTAAGATGACTGAACATGCTGTCTGAAACGTGCCGCTTTGAAGCAATCACAGTGTTCCACTATAATTGCAATTTCACAAAGTGGACTGTCTTTAATAATTATGATAGAAAAACACTGTACAATTTATTAAATACCTGTCATATTTGCAGTGTGCAGCATTATCAAAACCTCATATCACTGTTTGAGTAATATTGCACAGTGTGCTACAGACAAAAAATGTATATGTTTACATCCCAAAAGGGATGTTATCGTAAACTAAAATGAAAAGTAAAATATATAAATATTAGATGAAAAAGTTAAAAAATTTAAAAACTGAAATGAAAAAGATAAATGCTGCTTGGCAACTAACTGAAAAAAGTTTAAGATGAAGTACTAATATTATTAAAAAATAATCATACAATTATAAAAATGACAAAAGCATATAACCAAATTACAAGTAAAATTCAGTGTTATTTACCGAAAGTAAACAAGTCATTTAAAAAAAAAAAACAGAAAGGGAATATGAGATGAAAGAAAGCCTGTCAAAAGGGACAAAACAAGAAGCGCATACTAAAAGTAAATTTTCCATGATATCTCAACATCAGCACTGTTAATGAATCTTAATGAACTTTACATCTAAAATAATTCCATTTGTAATTCAGTAACATGGCATAAACTTAGTAAAAGTTCAACAACTGCATCTCTTACACTTTAGAAAGTGCACAGAAGACGACGACTTCTTGGGGAATAAAATATCATTATAAATGATCCTGTCAACTTCGCAATGAATACAAGATTCATTCTGCTTTAACATAAAATATCATTTATATATTTTAAATTATTAAAAATTATTATTACAGACAGACTTCCAATATCAGACTTCCACTTATAAGCCACAATTTAATCCTGTTTACGTAGTGTTGTTTTTGGCGGCCTGTTTTAATTTTAGTTTTAGTCTAGTCTTTTTGTCAAGCTGTCATTTTAGTTTTTATTAGTTTTAGTCACGTTCATACTCTTTTTAGTCTAGTCTAGTTTTAGTCGACGAAAGAAATAGTCTAGTTTTAGTCAACGAAAGAAATAGTCTAGTTTTAGTCAATGAAAATTGTATTTTAGTTTTTTTTTAGTAATGCAATTCTATTTAACCCAGTCAATATAGTATAAGTACCTAGTAGTATAGAAGAAACCAAAATTTTATTTTAGCCAAACCCATTTCAAACAATCTTATCTTCTTGTAGTTATCTATATTATTGTTACCTTATATACTCAATAATGCATCCATTCCAGACACGGAAGACGCTCTGATTTGAATTTACAACATATTTATTTTACCAACCAAACATGTTAGAAGTAGCCTACACACATGATGAAATGAAAGTTTTTCCAAATGTCATTTCTTCTTTTTCTCCCAAAGACGAATCCCTTTCTATGTGTCAGACTTGTTTGTTGTCGTTTATGCTAACGCCTGTTTCACATACTCCGTTTGCAGTGTGTAGGCTATGTGGTGCGTATTTTTCCCGCACCACTGTGAATAGGTTAGAGCCTATGGTTAGAGCGCTCACACCGCACGTGGATGCGGTCCGGCAATGCGCTCGTGCGTGCATAACAGCAACAACGCGACATAATGGATGTAGGCTAAAAATATTGATTTGAAATAAAAAATAGAGAATAAATGTTGTGATTGTGGTACAGCCGTAGATCAGTTGCGCATTGCAAACGCAGCACATGTGGAAGCACAATAGCGCGTGCTGCTCCTGCATACACACGGAGCAGCCGCAACACGCACCGCATACGCACTACACACGGAGTATGTGTGAAACAACCGTAACTCACGCAGCTGCATCTTCTAAATAATGCCGCGAGTGGGGCTTGAATGTGAAGTCGCCTGCGTCTGCGCAGTGCGATCTGATGCAGCCCCTGAAGTGACACAGGAAACAGAAATGCTGCATAATAGGCCTAATAATAATGCAAGTAACCTTAAATAACATTTCGTCTTGTCTCGTTTTGGTCAACGAAAACGAAGAGACATTTTAGCATAGGTTTTATTTTGTAAACCACATTTAGTCTCGTTTTTATTCGTCAACGATATTGCATTATACATTTAATTATAGTCATCGTCACATGACCAGCATTTACGTTGCGTCTCGTCTCGTTTTCGTCACGTGATAAAAGGTTCGTTGACGACGATATTTAGTCATAATTTTCGTTGACGAAAGCAACACTATTCAATAAACCTGAATTTGCAGACCCGTTGCTGACCTATGACATAAACTCCGAGAGGAGCTTCGAAGAACAGAACAATCCGAGACCACATCACATCGTAAATAATAAAATCGAGATAACTCAAATAATACGATTATTCGTAATAACTGTAGAAGTCAGTGGAAAACCACCAAAACTAAATCACTCGCATTATAATCGAAAAATCTGTCTACAGCGGAAGCGGCCCTTCTGTGACACATTTTCTAGAGTACACTATACTTTTCTGCTTGTCAGATTCTTTTAAATGCACATCTTAATCTTTACCGGTTGACACATTTCTACCGTTGAATGATATATACACTGCCAGTCCTACGTCTTATCTTTATTTTTATTCAGAAGACCATGAAATTAAAACTCTTCCGCGTGCGTCGAATGAGGAGGTAATGCCCTCGGAAAAGATAGTTTGCTCTGTCTATTTTGTATGCAGCTGCTGTAATGAACTGTACACTTGTGAAACATCGGTTTGAAGTGTGTTTGTGCATGCGAATGCATTCATGCGCATATCTGTGACCTGCTTACTAATGCGTGGGAGCGTACGCTTAACAAGTCAATGCCTAATGGAATGACTCATTACTAGTGATTTTCATTCCGACGGCTGTTCAGTTAATTCATATGTATATATATAGCAAAAATAAAAACAGCTCAGAGGTGACTGGAAACAATGTCAGAATATTGCTGTATTTGGGAACTGACACCTGAGCGTGACTCACCGTCCATCCGCCTCCATCAGTAGTCATGTCACAGAAGACCTGGAAGCCTGCTGGGTAATGTGTGGGGAACACGGAGTAGATACCATCCTCTCTTTGCCCGCTGGCATAGATGTCACTGCAGTCCCTGGGTCTGGAACCTGGCAGAAGATAGGACATGCCAGCATCATCAATCCACATTAAGCGGCAAGCCATCCGTTTTTTGTGTTTTTCTTTTAGTTTTTTGAGAAACCTGTTCAAGGTACGGTGTGAGAAAAGAAAGCTTCAAGACTTCAAATCTGTCATCTCGCACCTGCTGTCTAAGCAGTGGCATGTCTCTTTCACACTGCTAGAAAGCTTATGAGGGAATAGGTGTGAAACCATTCTAGGGCTCATTAGGGCTGGCTGGAAAGTTGAGAATATGTGGCTAATGAGGAGGTTTTTTTTACCCTCTCCACCGGCGCAGCCCTTGGGCCGGACGCCGCGCACCGGAGCCCTCTGCAGATCTGCCTTGAGACGGCTCTTGATGTTTCCGGTTTCCTTCTGCATGGAGCTGAGCGCGTCGCTCACAGAGTTCACCACTTTCACCATGTTGATCTGACTCTCTGAAAGCAGCTGGAGAGAGAAAGCAAGGGAAGGTTTGAGGGACAAAGGGAGAAAACAAATGATCCATTTCTCTTACTGAACCTCTCAGAGACTCACGTACTCGCATGTTTGAATCAGCCTGACAAATACTTTAGAGCACTAAAATGTTCGGGGCACAGCTGCCACGTTTTTATTGATTCCCTTTACCAAAAGAGCTTTGTGAAACTTTTCATATGAAGAAGATTGAAACATTTAAATGTTCAATTATTTATTTAGAAAATAGAAATAAATAATGATAATGAATATTTTTTTAAAGTATTATTAAAATGAAAATTACCAATATTTATTACAATATTTAAAATACTGTTTATATATTTGTACAATATCAAAATTATAATACTATATATAATTTTGTTATTTAATGTTTAAACTTAAACTAAAATATAGGTATACAAATATAATATAATAATGTTTAAACAATTATTTATTGTTTTAAGTTAATTAAAATGAAAATATTAAAAAATGTAATATTAAAACTGGTTACCAAAGTGGTATTATTTGAAATAAGCAAGATTTTTTTACATGTTTTTGAAAGAAGTATTTTATGCTCACCAATGCTTGATCAAAAATATAGAAAAAACAGTAATATTTTGAAATATTATTACAATTTAAAATAACTCTTCTCTATTTAAAGTAAGGGATAATGTACGTCCAGCCGGTTGTTATCGCAGAATAAACCCAGAGAGGGTGATCAGGACTTGCATCAGCCTGAAGGGGTTTGTTCTGCAATAACAACCGGCTGGACGTACACTATCCTGCTTATTACACGGCTACTTGTCACATAAATACATGAAATATTGATCTGAGTTGAAATATTTTATTAGCTCTTTAAACGCAAAGCTTCCGCGGAGAGAGCAGTTGCAGCGGCAAGTTCAAACTAGACGGACAATTAAGGGATACGCCGGTATACAGTCTTACCACTTATTACACCACATAAATAATTATGGGGATAAGAGATATTGATCTGAGATGAAGCTGTTTTAAAATCGTACCAAATTATTACATTTATGATAAATCGTACAATCACTTCTAATCCATTACAGTGTATTAAACCAGCCTTTCTCAAACTTTTTTCAGTCGGGGCACCTTTCAAAAGTGCATAAAATCTCAAGGCACCCCAGTGTAAAATATAAATTAAAAACACTGCATAACCCAAATGTAAATGCAAATGTCCTGTTTATTTAGACAGAACAGTAATGAACAGAGCATAATACGAACTGTAAATAACAATAACAATAATAATAACAACTTTACAGGGCTATCACTTTTGTGAAAAAATCCTGATCGATTTTTGAGACATAAACGGTCATTGAATCGATTGTAAAATCGATTTTCCATGTCTAAAGACGTTTCCATTTTCAGCGCAAAATATAGGCAAATCCACGGACAACTAACAGGCATTAGCACGAGCGTAAAGAGTGCGCTTGAGACGCGCACAAGTCAGCAATATTTCTGATGATTTATTGGCATGAAGTTTCGTGCACAATGACAAACAGGAGTGCAAGATTCTCGAAAAACAATAAGCAGAGTGGACTGCCATAACATCAATGAAAAACATTACTGCAGGCTTCAACATGGCTGTGTTTACGATTAGAAATGTCAAACAAATTTCGCCTATGTAGGCGATTGTAGGCCGGATCTGTATCTGTATGCATTGGACTGTCTGAATACCGGCAGAATTCACATTTTTGTTGTAAAAAGAGACACGTTATGCAGAAGTATAGTATAGTTTGTATGTGTGTTTGTCAGAGCCTGCAGTTGCTGTGTGACGCGCGTTCGCTGTTGTTGCTATAACGCGGTGCTATGGGTTGCGTCACTTGCGTCAAGTAATGTGTGTGTCTTGCTTCGGTCTTGTGAGACGGATTTTTATGGTTAATTTTATATATATATATATATATTTATCTAAAATGAATTTACAATTTTATTAATACGTTCATATGTTTAAAAAGAAGAAGAATGTATTTATGTAAATTCAAATATATATATATATATATATTTTTAGCCTACGTAATTTTTTGGCGGCACCCCTGACAAAGTCAGGGGGCACCCCAGTGTGCCGCGGCACCCACTTTGAGAAAGGCTGTATTAAACAATCGTCGCAAAATGGCAGAAGCTGCGTTTGAATGAGACAAGAGAGAGCGAGTCCGCGATACCGGATGATGGATTAAATATCTCTACACAAAATATTGATTTGACTGAGTTTTAATATTTTATTAGCTCACCAAACGCAAAACTTTCATGAGGAAAACCCTTTCCTAGCAAGCGTATACTAGCGCTGCTGAATTCAGTAACCCGGATGAGCCTGTTTTTAGCAGTTGTTATCGGGAAAATAACATATCGCTGGATGGCGCAACTAACCAATTAGAATCAAGCCTTCCACAGAGTCGTGTAATAATATATTCTAAAATATAATACATTTTTGTAACGAAGCTGAATTTTCAGCATCATTACTCCAGTCTTCAGTGTCACATGATCCTTCAAAAATCATTCCAATATGCTGATTTGCTGCTCAAGAAACATTTCTTATTATTTTTAAATGTTGAAAACCATTTTTGCTGCTTAAAGGATTAGTTCACTTCAGAATTAAAATGTCCTGATAATTTACTCACCCCAACGTCATCCATTTCTTCAGTCAAAAAGAAATGAAGGTTTTTGAGGAAAACATTCCAGGATTTTTCTCCATATAGTGGACTTCAATGGGGTCCAACGGTTTGAAGGTCCAAATTGCAGTTTCAGTGCAGCTTTAAAGCCTCTGTCTACACGATCTCAGCCGAGGAATAAGGGTCTTATCTAGCGAATCGATCGGTTTTCTTAAAAAAAATATAATATATACTTTTTAACCACAAATGCTCGTCTTGCACTAGCTCTGAGATGTGTCACGCATTACGTAATCACGTTGAAAGGTCACACGTGACATAGGCGGAAGTACCGACCTGGTGTGTACAAAGCGAACGTGCAAAGACTAAATCAAACGCCATTTACAAAAAAAAAAAAAAAAAAAAGGTGAAACAACCATGTCAGACGATTTTAAAGTTGGAGGAGAAAATGAGATGGAGTTTTTCGCCCTACCCTACCTTTTTGAACCAGAACAGGCGTGACCTTTCAACGTGATTAAGTAATGCGTGGCGCATCACAGCTAGTGCAAGACGAGCATTTGTGGTTAAAAAGTATTTCAATGTTGTTGTTTTTTTTTAAATGACCGTTTGTTTGGCTAGATAAGACCCTTATTCCTCGTCTGAGATCGTGTAGAGGCTTTGAAGCTGCATTGAAACTGCAATTTGGACCTTCAAACTGTTGGACCCCATTGAAGTCCACTATATGAAGAAAAATCCTGGAATGTTTTGCTTAAAAACCTTAATTTCTTTTCGACTGAGGAAAGAAAGACATGAACATCTTGGATGACGTGGGGCTGAGTATATTATTAGGACATTTTTAATTCTGACGTGAACTACTCCTTTAATATTTTTTGTGCAAATATTGCTTGCCGCTGAAATCATTTGATTTCATGATTTCTTGGCATTTCCATGCCTTTCCTAAAAGCCTGGCTTAAACCATAATAACAATGAAGTCTCTGTATCAGCATGTGGTCCTCGGCTCTGCAGTGAAGTAACAGGTGCACTATGCTGCACAACACTGATAGTGCTTCAGTTTAGCGGGGCTCACGGCCAGTGGGTCTGGAAGCCACTCGGTTTAAGTTTCCCAGACAGCTCTCTTTATTGCCTGCATCAGCAAAGCCACTTAGGTCACCTCGATAAAAAAATAAAAAAAATAAAAAAAATAACTTCATTCTTTCTGAGTGAGGCAAACTACGCCTTTCTCTAAAGGACAGGTCTTTGTGTTGCAGACATCTAACATCATGACTCAGTGTGGCACTTGGGCATGTAGGAAGCTCAGCTGGCGATTAGCAAAAATTAGCCCTAAAGTGAAGCCTTTTTCCTATGACACATGAAAGCTCTCCTTTGGGGTGTGAACAAACATCAAGTTCTTTGAGAGTGTGTCGCTAACAAGTCTGCGTATGCATATGTCGCTGTGACAACACTGCAAGCTAAGTGTGTTGGAGTGTCCGTGCACACGCTTGAAGCTGATGACGGCTGACGCACTATGTACTTTCTGTGGATGGTTGGGACATTATCATTCGCAGCTCTCGACACACTGGTTCGCTCCGCCACGCTGCCATAGCAACAACACTTAAACGTCTATCATTACAAGGCCTGTCCAGCATCAAAAGAAAAACGTCACACGCATGAAAACATAATGTCGCCAAAAGTACAATGCATGCCACGCTCTAGCGTTTGTTTAATGGCTCGAAACCTCATGGCATACACTCGACAGGACGCAAGACCTTAGTCACCACATCTACTCTAAACATTGCCTCCCTTTTATTAAAGAACACAGCAGGAAACTACAAATTAAAAGATCCAGCTATTCAAAACTCACCTTGAACTATCAATTTCAATGGCTGTGTTTGGAACAGAACATTATAGAACAACTTGAATACTGTATTGTACAGTATTCTATTTTTTTAAACTGTATGTGAAACAGTAGGCTTTATTACATGAATGTTTCAAAGTCATTTTAGATGCACAAGATATTAATCAGAATTTGGTCAGATTTGTACTGTAAACACATCCTTATTTCAGTTTCTCAAAAATTGAAGACATCTGGCATTAACCTGTATTTATCAGAATTTTGGGGCATGCAAACACCTTGGGCCGTATCATACACCCGGCGCAATGCAAGTGTTTTTTGCTAGTTTCAGCCCGACGCAGTTATCATTTTCTCGTCCTGCGCCACGTTGTTTAAATAGCAAATGCATTTGCGCCCATCTGTGAGCCCATGGGCATGCTGGTCTGAAAACAAGGTGTGCTCAGGCGCATTGTTGGCGCGTTGCTATTTTGAGGAAACTGAAATAGACTGTGACATTGACCAACTGAAACCTGGTCTAAAGTCAATGGCGCAATATTTTTTTT